TCTGAGGTGAATGGAAGTAAAGTTGCTGCAAAGCTTTTTGGGAATGTAACAAATGACCCTATTAAAGTGACTATAGGTTGTTACCCCATAGATTGGAATATAAAGTAAATTAGTGTGAATAATTCAATTTACCAATGATTTTTTTTTTTTAAGATGGCATGTGATGGGGTGGGGGAGAAGGAATTCTGAAGGTGGGGTAGGTGGTATAGTTTGAAAAAATATGCTTTTATGTTTAGAAAAATATCATTTTTATATAAATTATGTAAAGGTCATAGTATGTTTATGTTTAGCCTTTGGAAGAGAGATGGGTTTTAAAAAAGTAGAGAAACATGTATAGGTTTATACAAGGTAAAAGAGAAAGAGTGGCTGGCTTAGTTCATCTTGAGGGAAGCAGTGTTACCTCAGTGACCTACAAGACAAGGTTTTATTTTCCGATTCAATGAAAGCCCACTAGTGTTGCTTTCGAAGCAACAACGAAATCATTTCCTTTCTGTCATTTCTGTTCTCTGGGTCAGGAACAGGGAGGATGGAGAGCAATGAGAGAAATTAGAGTCCGACCTGCATACCTAAGCAATAGTGTCCTTTGAGCGGGATCTGTGTCACATTGTGTAAATATAAGAGCCTTTACTTTGAGATGGATCTGAGCACCTTCCCTAAGATGCATGCTGTAAGATAAAGCTGGATAACATTGCCACAGGTGGGGGCATGGGTGAGATCATCTGATAACAGAAGCACTGGGGGAAAAGGAGAGCCAGGAAATGTTTAATTCAGTGAGGTTCTTTGGAGCCTTAAGGAGGCATTTCCAGGCAGAGCTCATTATTGGCTAGCCTGGCTGGGCTTTGTATGGCTTCCACAGGAGCTGCCCTTCATGTGGAGACTCCTACGGAGGTTCCGTTTCTCAGGTTGTAAGTAAGCATCAGTTATGTTTCTTATATGCTCTAGAAAAGAAAGGCTCACAAAGACACAATCTAGCCTGCCATTCTTTCAGATCTTTGGCTCATGTCACCCACAGGCTTCCAGAAATAAGTTGTGCCCTCCCTACCAGTAGATGGCACTGCTGTCTCTGGAATTCCTGGAGGAGATGAAACAGAGCTGGCAAACCAGTGGTGTGTAGCCTCCAGATTTTGAAAGGCTATCAGCTCTCAAAAAAAAAAAAAAAAAAAAAAAGGTTCTGAAAGCCCAACTGTTTATATTAGGTAGAAATAATGTGTGTTGGAGGTTGAGGAATGGGTACAATTACTTTGCTGGGTGTGTATAGGGGAAAAGGCAACAATTACGCATTATATCATAGGTTTTAAAAGCTCTTGGCATACATGTTGCTTAATTGAACATGAGGTTGAAATCCTGATTCAATCAAAATTCACAACAATGTCATGGTTCTAATTCTTTGCACGTGAAGCTAGTCTACATATGGACAGGACTATGGAAATATACATGTGACTTTTAAACCTGATCAATATCCAGTAATTACATGCTCTGAAGGTGGTGGTGAGAGTATCAGTAAAGGCAGTGCTTGTTGTTACTGTACTGCAGGGCTGTCCAGGTAGGTCAAAGTTATTCTGAATCGTTTTCTTCTAAAACTTGGAAATTACTAAGAAGTATTTTAAGGTTTTCTTAGCTAAAGCTGTCCTTTCAAGATTATGTTACTCCAAATCTTGAATTTTGGTTTTATTAAGCTTGTGAGCCAGAATTCATTTATCTGTTCCCCTCTTTTAAAATAGCTATTCTTTGTTTTTGACTGTTCTTTGAGATGCAATTTGTAACCATGGTATTTGAAGGAGGTGAGTGCTGTTGCCAGTGAAGTTACAATGTATATGAGAACCTCAGTTTTGACCCTGCCTGAGCTACACAGTAGGCTGCCTCTAGGTGTCATTACCCCAATCACCTGCTTCCTCATGCAGTTCACTCCCTATGGCTCAGCTTATTTGAGGTTTATTTCTGTCTCCAAGAGAACTGATGAGCTGGTTTTTACTACCAGTGCTGAATCCTAAAATCCTGCTGGTGCTAGATGGCAGTAGTTACAACAGTCCATTAACATTGTCTCATTATGTGACCTCAAATAAATCTTTGCCTTTCTGAAACTCCATTTTCTTGCCTGATCACTGGGATTGCTGAGGTGATACATGTCTATTAAAATCTCTTTCAAGTCTTATTCTGTGGCAGGGTGACTCTTGTAAGGTATTTCTGAAGCCTCTGAAAAGTTCATCTAGAAGGTAATTTCAAACTGTGAGCCTAGGGCAAAAAGAAATCTCAGTAATACTTCTTTCCAGAGAAATGATTGTGTATTGTCTTAGAATCCTAATAATTCAGAGTTGGAAGAAACCCTATGGATGGTTTAACTCAACTTTCTCATCTAATAGGCAGAGTTTCAACTCAGGACTGAGTGACCAAGCTAACAGAACTAGTTAGTGGTAGAGAACTCGTTAGAGAACTAGGACCCAAGCTCAGACTCCTCTCCATCTTTCCTTCTCCAATGCTGCCTTTCTCCACTTGCCATCAGGACTCAGAATATGCTATGTCTGCAGGGCTGGAGCCAAGAAAATTCTGAGTAATTCCTTAATGTAGCATTTTAAAGCCACAGCATGAATAATGTTGAGTTTGGGTAGAAATTCAAGGTCAGGCTTTTCTTTGCAGCTTGTTCTTCACTGACTGACCCTGCACAGGATTCTTTATGTGCATCTTTGGGTTTTTCAAACTTTTTGCATACTGTTTCCTAGAAGAAAAACTTTCATCATCCTAGAAGAGTCCCTTACCAATCAGATATTCTTATACTAGGTTCATGGAACTGTGAGTGCTGCGTGGAAAGAATATGTCCATATAATAGGCTTCTTTTGTAATCCTATAACATTTAACACATTCTGAGGAGGAGTTTCTTTGGCTTCAACAGACTGCCAAAGCTGGGTTGGGGGTGAGGGAGTGGAATCCATGGCACAAAAATAGGGTAGAAATTCTAGAGTCTAGAGTGGGTTGTGGAAAATTGCCAGGATGGGAGAGTTTTTGAGGAGCTAAAGACACTATATAGTGCATGAGGGCTGGGGTTAGAGTACAGAAGTAAACCTATGGAAGTTCTTAGACCCTTTTACCTTTATTGAAATGTTTAAAATTGCTCACTAAATGAAGATGCTAATAGCATTTTATTCATTTTAAATTAATAATGGATGTGCAAGTATTGATTTCCATTTATCATTGCTTGCCCAGTAAGTACTCCCTTGTGATTTCACCAAAACACTTTCATATTCATGTTCCTTCATTGAAGATGACAAGCATTGTAAGAACCTCCTTTCTCCCTCAATCTGATCTGATTTCCAGATAGATAGTGCTTTTCTGACTTGTGACTTGGGGGGTTGACTCCTGTTTTTCACTTCTGACGTCCTTCATTGCACTGTTTTTTTACTGTAAGCTCCTAGGACTCACCATGATCTCAGAGATGCAAAAATAGCATACATGCCAGGGATAAAAAAAAAAATCTTGAGGTTCCTTTGTCCTCAGAATTTATCACAGAAACTGCTGATTCTTGTTTATTTCTCTTTTCTATTTGCAACCCCAAATTCTTTTTCTAATTGTCTCCCAAATAGTAGTGACTCAGAGTTTCTATATATTGAAAATATTTTTGATTTTGCCAGAGCCTATGCAGAAGTTAATTTGTGTTCAAGTCCTATTTTGGACATGTGAAACATAACTTTGGTGGAGATCACTACATCATGAACATCTGCTTAAAAATCTCCTGATGTCTTTTCTGTGTCACCTTGCCTACATTTGGTACCATAGTGACCTAAGCTGGTAAATGCTACCTTTGGTACCTTTTTGGTTATGGGCCAGAGTAGTATTTGTTCTTGTTTTAGCAGAAGAAAATTACCTTTTTTCAGAAGGCTATCAATTGAGTTTATGTAATAACAGAAAAAAAGTAAAAATTTCTGCATTCTATTCCCAGTACACTAATTTATTGTGAGATTTTGGGGGCATTATTGACATCTGAGTTTATTTCCCTGTGTGGAAAATAAGAAGAGAGAATAGTGACCACTTAAGTTCTTTCTATTTCTAAAAATCTGTGACTATATGAAATTTTATATGGTACCTAGACTAAGCATTTCCTAGAAGTGCTGGTTAGTTGGGAATTATAATCAGATTTGGTGCCGAGAGAATTCTTTATATCTGCAAATTACTTTCTGGTTTACAAAAATATTCTCTATTTCCTTTTTACTTAGTGTGTGGTCAGAGAACAGCAGCATTGGTATCATCTGGGAGCTTGTGAGAAATTCAGATTCTCAGGCTTCACTCAGGACCTACTGAATTGGAATGCACTTCGTCAAGATGCACAGGTGCTATGTGTGCACATTAAAGTCTGAGAAGTGCTGCTTTGTCTCATTTGGAGTTTCACATTAATCCTCTGAGGGAAGAGGTATTTTACAGATAAAAAATCAGGGAACCAAGATTCGCTTCTTAAGTAACTAAGTCAAGGTTATTGTGCTAGTGTCTTACCCAGAACGTTGTACCAAATAGAATGTTGTCTTCTTGGTTGGGCTGGAGCCAGCCTTGTATGATAGATAATAACTACTAGCTGCCCAGCAGCGCATGGTTGTAGGTGTGGCTGTGTTACTGCTTCTGGCCACCAAAATGTGAATGGAAGTGGAAGAGTGTTGCAACCCACTTCCAGGAAAAAAAAAACACAGAGAATACCCGTGTGAGCTTCCATGCTGTTCTCCACTTCTGGCTGGCTGGAATGGAGAAAATTCCTAGGGCAAGCTTGGAAATCAAGTTTTTAAAAAAGTTGCAAAACTTAGGTTAGCCTGGGTGCTTGGATCACTGACCAACCTGTTTGCCTCTTCAGTATGTATATGGGAACCAGAAATAAACTTTAATTGGGCTTGAGCCATTACATTTCCTTGGGTCTATGTGTTAAGCAGTTAGACTACTCACAAATTCACTTGAGCTGCGGCTCTGGGCTTGAAGTTGTGGGTCTTCTGGCCTAATGCATTCATTTATTTTTTTGTCTTTGGCAGTTGGTGATCGGTCAGTGGTGGTCCAGCATGCAGAAGTGAGTGAGTGGTGAAAAGCAGCAGAGCTGATGGGTCATGAGGATGTAAGTGCGTTTGAAGGCTCTCACACCCTTTACTCCAGGGTAAGTCAAAGGCATTCTCTGCCATTGTTTTTCTGGTTTTACTAAGTCCTACAGGTTCTTGTCTCACTAGCCTCTTTGAGTCAGTGCAATTAAGTGCTCTGTCTTTGAAAGTTTCCCAAAGCCTTTATTGATTCAACTTATAGACACCATACAAATCAACAGTTATGAAGAGAAAATTCCATCAAAGTGATGGGATGGAAACTGCATGGAAATACCTCAACAGAGGAATTTTCAGTGAGTTTGAATGGGTATGATTTACATGGGAGGAGCTGGTTGACTTTCCTGACATATGTAGTAGAAAAGAGAATCAGGCCTGATTGCCTTTTTCTTGTAGCCATATCCTACTGTTAGCTCTGTTGACATACATTCCCCTCTCCCAGCATCCTCCTCTTCCATGGCTTACTTTGCTTAACTTTTCCTTCATTAATCATTTAAATTTTTTTCCAGGAAGGAAATAGCTTACTAAAGAGTTGATGATTCCCACTTTGGTGGATAATAGCAGTAGCAAACATGTGGTTCTTCCTGTTCCGTTTTATTTTATCCAGTGTCACTGGAAGCTACGTGTCCATTCACTCCTCTCTATTTGCAGTCCCTAGTATAATGAATGTGGGCATTGGGAGCATTATAATTAAAGCTGGCTTTGGATTTTCATTTGTGCTGAAGATTTTTGAGACCAGAGGGAGAAATTTACTATTTGGAATGCCCTTCTCAGAGTCCATGTGGAGGTCCAGGAAGGATGGGTTGAAAAGACATCATAACCTTTCTATGCTTCCTGGCTTTAAGAGCTTAAACTAAAACCAGACTCCTTGAAGAGAAAATTGTAATTAATATGGATCTAAGCAGAGCTAAGGATGGTTAGGAAAGAGAGACAGGAGGTTAAAAAAAATGGTACTCAGCTGAAAAACTGGATGGAAGTTTGTTGTAAGCATCTCAGTTCAATACTGTGGACCCTTGGCAGATAATGTCCCATTACCCAGGCTCACACAGAGGGCACCCAGAAAGGCTGATGTCCTTCAGTGCCTCACATGGCTCAGTAATGAGTACAATTTACTGACCAAAATAGAAAATTAGGGGATGTAGATCTCTGTAGATTCCCATAAGCATACATCATTACTGCTCTGGAGTGATGCACATGCTTAGAGATAAGCAAAGCAGAGAAAAGGCAGCTGCAAAGCTCGTCAGCAACTGAAGAGTCCAGGTGAGCAGCCAGATACAGACCATAGCTCAGGGTCTGGAGGTTGCTGGTGCAGGGACCTGATCTTTGCTAGGTTTTCTCATTAAAGAAAAGAAGCCTGCCTTTGCTAGCTGTCCTCATTTTCCTCTGTGGCTCCCATATATCTTGTATTTTTAAAGTAACTAAAAAGTATATAATGCCAGAAATAGCACTTGATTGGCATGTTTCTGTGTAAATACTGTACAAGGATCAAACTGTAGAGGGAGCCATTCTTTATTGATTAGGGGCCCAAAGAAAGTCATGCTAGAATTGCCAGAGGAGCAGGGGTTCTCATCCTTGGCACTGTTGACATTTTGAGCCAGGCAGTTCTTTGTGGTGGGGGCTGTGCTCTGCACTGTAGCCTGTTTGGCAGGGTCCTTGGCTTCTACCCACTAGATTGCAGTAGCACTCCCCACAGTCAAAAATGTCTCTAGACATTACCAAGTGTCCTCTGGGGGCAGGAAATTGCCTGGTTGAGAACCACTGCTGAAGTAATACTGCTGAAGGGATTGAATTTTGCTCTGAGTTTTTCTGGGACTGTGTTTTAACTATTTAGCCTCATTTTGCTAGATTCCCTACCTGCAAACGAGACACAGAATTTATAACTCAGTACCAAGGAAGTGATGTACATAGTACTGGATGACTACATGGGGGCTCTGTAAATGTTAAGAAACATTGTCTGTCTCCCCAAATTTCCAGGACCCAAGGATCACTCTTGTGCAAGTATTAACTGAGGAATATTGGGAGTTTGAAGAAGGGCTAATGATTAGTGGTAGGGGAAATAATGAACAGTACTGGATTCTGATTTTATTTGAAAGCTCATGCCCTATTCATTGCAGCAATATATTCTGAATGAAGGCTTTCTTTTGGAAAGTTAAGAAAGAGGGTAGTGAAGGAGGCAGAAAGAACGTTGAGAAGAAAAGTGAAGGAAATTGCTTTTTTTTTTTATTATGTTATGTTAATCACCATACATTACATCGTTAGTTTTTGATGTAGTGTTCCATGATTCATTATTTGCGTATAACACCCAGTGCTCCATGCAGAACATGCCCTCTTTAATACCCATCACCAGGCTAACCCATCCTCCCACCCCCCTCCCCTCTAGAACCCTCAGTTTGTTTTTCAGAGTCTCTCGTCTCTCATGGTTCATCTCCCCCTCCGATTTCCCCCCCTTCATTATTCCCCTCTTGGAAATTGCTTTTTAAAAAAATGTTTAAATTTAAGTATAGTTGACACAGAATGTTATGTTAGTTTCAGGTGTATAACATATTGGTTCAACTTCTTTATGTGTTCTGCTATGCTCACCACAAATGTAGCTACCATCTGTCACCATACAGTGCTATTACTATATCATTGACTAAATTCCCTATGCTGTGCCTTTTATTCCCGTGACTTATTCCATAACTGGAAGCCTGTATCTCCCTCTCCCCTTCACCCATTTATACCCATCCTTCCACTTCCCTCCCCTCTGGCAGTTTGTTCTCTGTATTTATACGTCTGGTTCTGCTTTGTTTATTCATTTGTTTTGTTTTTTAGATTCCACGTATGAGTGAAATCATAAGGTATTTGTCTTTCTCAGTCTGACTTATTTTGCTCAACATAGGTCAATCCATGTTGTCATGAATGGCAAGATTTCATTCTTTTTTTATGGCTGTGTGATAGTCCAGTGTGTGTGTGTACACACCACATCTAAGGGATTGTTTTTGATAGGGTGGTCTCTTAACGTTAAAATGACTCATGTATAAGTAGACCAAAGAACATAAGTAACCCTCAAAGGAAATACAAATCAAAACCATGATGAGATATCACCTCACACCTGCCAGAATGGCTAAAATTAATAACTCAGGAAACAGCAGATATCTGTGAGGATGTGGAGAAAGGGGACCCCTTTTGCTCTATTGGTGGGAATGCAAACTGGTGCAGCCACTCTGGAAAACAGTATGGCGGTTCCTCAAAATGTTAAAAATAGAACTACCCTATGACCCAGCAATTGCTCTACTAGGTATTTATCCAAAGGATACAAAAATGCTGATTCAGCAGGCACATGCACCCCAATATTTATAGCAGCACTGTCAGCAACAGCCAAATTATGGAAAAAGCCCAAATGTCCATTGACTGATGAATGGATGAAGATGATGTAGTATATATGTACAATGGAATATTACTCAGCCATCAAAAAGAATGAAATTTTGCCTTTTGTAACAACGTGGATGGAACTAGAGTGTATCATGCTAAGCAAAGTCAGAAAGACAAATACCATATGATTTCACTCATGTGGAATTTAAGAAACAAAACAGATGAGCATAGAGGAAGGGAAGGAAAAATAAGATTAAATAAAAACAGAGAGGGAGGCAAACCAGAACAAACAGTTGCTGGAGAGGAGGTGGGTGGGAGGATGGGATAAATGGGTGATGGGAATTAAGGAGGGCACTTGTGGTGAGCCCTGGGTGTTACATGTGATGAATCACTATATATATGATTTTATTCATTCACTTGACAGCACGAGAGAGCACAAGCAGGGGGAGCAGCAGAGGGAGAGGGAGAAGCAGGCTTCCCATTGAGCAGGGAGCCCCATGCAGGGCTCAGTCCTAGGACTCTGAGATCATGACCTGGGCTGAAGGCAGATGCTTAACCAACTGAGCCACCCAGGTGCCCCTGAATCACTATATTTTATTCCTGAAGCCAATACTACACTATATGTTAACTAACTTGAATTTAAATTAAAAAAAAAAAGTAACCTTCAAGAGAAATCTATCCTCCCAAATTACTGCTGATCCTAGAACAGATTTTGAAGATAATACAATAAAGACCACAGAATGTTTGGAGAAACGTTTTTATTCTAGAACCTTTTAATTTCTGTTTCTTCTTTGGGAATATGGAAAGGGGGAGTTTATCTTTAAACATATGCCTTTTGAGTGATAAATAAAAGGTTTTAATATAACGTGTTCTTTTGATACTTTTTTTTGGTGATAATATGCTCTTGTATAACAAGATCTCGTCTCATTTAAAACAGAATTGCATTTTGGACTTTTTTATCTTGAGGAGCCTTTCAGTCTGTGAGTGTATCTTGCTGAACTTTTACCTTGCTATTTAATCTCTCTCTTCCAGAAAGTGCCATGGGCCTGTCTCTCTGACATAATCGAGTATACTGCCTCTAAAATATTTGCCCTTTAATCCAAGGTTTCTGAGCCGTCTCCTTCCATTTGATCTCTCCACAGCCTGACCCTCAGTGGTGAAGCTTGTTTGTGCGGGATGTCTCTTTTGATACTGCCTAGAGCTTAACAAAGAGTCTGGGAGAGGTGGCAAGAGAATTTTCACATTTCCTTCTGCCAAGCCCCAGTGTGGCTCAAGAAAGTGTTTCATAAGATAGTAGTAATTCATAAGCTTAACCTCTAGAGAGTTATGCCCTGGAGAATTAGTCTGTAAAGCAGTTTTTTAACAGACATATTACAGCACAAATTTAGTAATTAAGCCCTTTAGCAATGTGGAAGAATTTTCAGTTGATATTGAATTTTAGCAACATGGGAGAATTTTCTGTTGATATTGTCTATTACTATTACCAATATTGCTCAGAAACTATCATAATTAGAACAAATGAAAAGTTGTGGAAATAAAGACAGTTCTTAAAAAGATGTAATTTAAATCTAACTGAGCCCAAGATTGTTTTGTAGAGGGAATGAGAGTAGGGAGTATGCCATGAGTATTGTTGGAGGTGAGGGGAAGGAAGTCAACAGGGCCTGAGATTGATCCTTAGACAGCCTTTACTTGATGGCTTCACCTCTGGTGG